CTGACCTTGGTGTCTGCAGAGTTGTTTCTCTCATGTATTCTCACTCCTCTCTCCGCTGCTGTTTGTTGCTGCAAATGGCCGTTGTTTTTTTTTTTTCCCTCTTCTTAAATACATTATCACAGAGTTGCTACCACCATCACTGATGGGCTCAGCCTTGACCAGCGGCGGGTCGGTCTTGGAGCTGGCTGGCATTGGCTCTGTCAAACATGGGGGAAGCTTTTAGCAGCTTCTCACAGAAGCCACCCCTGTAGCTACCCTGCTACCAAAACCTTGCCATGCAAACCCAATACAATTGCTTGTACCTGTGTAAAAGATGCTAACTGGTAAAGGACAGCAGAATTGACTCATAGCTTTTGAGCAGTGAGCAGATGCTGAGGTCAAAAGGTGTTATTCAACTAACGTAACTTGAAGGTCTTCTAAGTTTCCCACCTTTAATTTGTGTTTTGGCTGTAGAGCACCAACAATGTGAAGATGCGCCATTGTAATCAGTGAAATTTGATCTGTGGTGATGAATGACTGTAACGGACGGCTGGGCTCAAGAGAGAAAGCAAATAGGAGTTTTTGGGAGGGGTCTAAATGGGAAGAGAGAGATGAATCTGTACACTCTTCTTGGGTTTATCTCCAAAAAGTTGCAAAGGTGTCAACAGCAAGAAAAGTCAAATGGCAACCACCAGGTTATTGTAACTGAGAAGCGCAGTAAAAGTTGGGTGATCAAAAATACGCAGCTAATGCTGGTGTCAAAACAACAGTCTGTCTGCAGTGGAGGAGTCATCAGAAACATCAGCAGAGAAGTGATGTGATGAGACTTACAGTTCTGGAGGGCTGTTTAAGGTGGACTGGCAGTGGGTATGTGGATGTCAAAAAAGCAGGAGGTTGAAGTGGTGAATGCTGGTCGTGATCAAAATGTAGAGTGGAGTTATAGCAGCCAAGCTGACATCTTCTCTATGTATGCCCAAGTCTTACTGCTTTTCCAGAACAAGGAAGCTGTTAGAGAGACGACCCTCAAGCTGAGATAGAAGAAAAGAGAAAAAAAATCCTCCATAAGGGTAGAGTTTTGTGTGGAACCCAGAGAGGTCCTAGTGGTGCTTATCCTCTGAAGCAAGTCCACCTGAATGCAAATAAGCAGTTTTGTTCAGACTTTACAGTACTGTAAAATTAGTGATCTCAAAATTAGCACTTCATAGTAATGATAATTTTCTGCCTGACTGCGTGGGTTTTGTTTATGTGGTTTTGGTTTTGGTTTTTATCTGGGCTGGCTGTTCTTTGGAGATGGTGGGATGAGACAAGTGAATAACCCTTAAATTAAAGTTGCTAGAATGAAATAATTCTCAGGAGTATGACTTAGACATGCATAACTCATTTGAGACCTTTTCCTGATGTCTAGCTCACTACAGAAGAACGTGAGAGGACTTCTTTGAGCCTCCAGTCTTTGGAATAGTTACTCATGTGCCTAGAACTAAGCACATGCTTGTCCCCATTAATTGAAGTCTGTGCTCGAAATGAACTGTGTGCTTAACTGTTAAATGGCTTGTGGTCTCAACTGTGTACTTGGTGCCTATACGGTGGTTTGGCAAAGTCTCATGTGAGCATGTGATCAAACCCTTGGAAAGCATGGCTCTTTGTCAGTTAATGACTCTCAGCCAAACCAGTGACATTCTGATACTGTATTACTTCATGGTGGTCACAATGATGTTTTCCTTTCAGCATGCCATTTAGTGTGTGCACTTTGCCTCAGTGGTACCACTTCATGTTTAGGTTTTCAAACATTGGACCTGATGTCTTTCTGTACTGCTGGATGGGTGTGATCCTTTTTTGAAATGACAGTGATTTTTTTTTTTTTAAACTGTCAGCTTGTCTTTTTTCTCTGTGATATCTCCCCCGATGCTGCTTGTTAGATGCTGCCTGCATTTTCTAAGTATCTGTCTGTTATCTCCCCCCCACTACCCTATTAAAAAAAAAAAAAGCCTCTGCACTACCTCTGAATGAAACAAAACATGAATAATTGAATAATTGAATAATTGAATAATTGCCTGCTGACTGATAGAGCAAAGTTAAAATAACTGAAGTTAAAATAACTTAGGAGTTCTAACCCTCTTTGGCAGTAGAAGAATGTATGTTCTGTCTCCATTTGTTGGCATGCTCTTGTCCAGTATGGATAAGGAAAAATAAATTGAACATCTCTTGTATTTTCTTAATTGTTAGCCGCTTGGAAAATTATGGGTCAGGTAAATTGATAACCCTGTAAGTATTATTCAGTCCACGGTTCTACTGTTACTTTTCATTAAACTGCTTTAAATGCATGATGACTCAGGCCGGCTGGTTCCACTGCTGCATTTTTCCATTGTGAAAAGTATAGAAGTTTTGGTCTCATCAGGGCTGCATGGCTTTACTTTGTTTGGCTAAACTGTTCGGATCTCCATGCTCCAAGAGTGAATAACGCAAACTTCATTCATGGAAAAGCGAACACTTTGTGTACAGTTAGGGCATCACTTGCCAGCTCATCAACATTCACTAATTGTATCTCTTGCTTTTCACAGCTCCTCATGTTAGATACACCAATTAGACACTTTGTGTGTGTGTATGTATATATATTTTTTTTTTTTTCTATATGGCACTGTATTCTGTGAATGTGTCAAGGCACATTATTTAAGAATCTATACACGCTTTAAAGTGAATAGCAGAATTACTGCACTAAGAAATGATTGCTCGCGTTTTGAGTGCTGGTTTCTAAGGGCTTTGATTCACGAGCTAAAATGGCTAGCAAGGTTGCTGCTCCTAGCGTACACGCAGGGCCAGGAAAGCTGATACTCTTGTGAAATAGCTGCATCTTAGAGTGCAGCGATTTGAGGGAAACCATCCCAGATTTTGTTTTGTCGAGAGAATGTTGTGCTGTAACTTTGCGCTGTAAATAGCTTGTGAATCAGAAGCCTTGAGCAGCTGATCGCTGCTTTCTTCCATTAAAATGTATTTATGATACAAAGGAAGGTGAGTGGGGTATAAATACTCCATTTTTTTGTTTTATTTTCTAAGGCACAGTTGCATCCTTTTAAAAATGGCTTTTTCCTTGGTAAATAGTGTAGGTTAAATCGACACGGTTTTTACTTTGACTAGTGGAAAAGCTTTTCTGGTATTTGTCTGTAATCTCAAACTTGGCTTTGGACTGAATTGTGGATTTTGCAGAGACAAAACTGACAGTTAACTAGAACATATAAATAATTTCAGCTCAGATTTGGGGACTCCTAACCAAGGTGTAGTGACATGTTGGCTATATTGTGACAGAAGAACCTTCTTACATGTGTGTGACTGGAGAAGTCCTCTAATTTTTGAGCTAAGATCTTTCAGTAGGTTTGCTGTCTATAGTTAGGTTCTAAGTCCGCTTAACTTGAAAGCTTCAAAAGGCGTTGGAATATTTTGCCTTTAATATTTGGAGTAAGAGAAGAAACAATTTTTTTTTTTTCCCCTTCTCATGGTGAGTTTTGGAACTGGCAAACAAACAGCAGTGCTTTTTGAAGCTCCGTATGATAAGCAAACAAAGGTAAGTTTCCTTTTGAATAGGAACAAAGAGTTACTTGAAGCAGCTTTCAAGTTGCTAAAACTAATAATCTCGGTGTTTGTAGGAGTAGTAATTGCCATCTGGAACAAAAAGGTGGAATGTGTTGTTTTGGTTTGGTTTTTTTAAATCAAATGTAGAGGGTTTATGTTTCTGAAAACATGTACCTTTGATACAAAATACAGATATTTTAAGGGTAAAACTGAAAAACCCCATCTTTTGCACCCAAAAATTAGCTTGGGAATGCAGATGCTTACGTTTGGATAAATTGGTAGAGACAGAGGATATTAGATTAAATTGGCCAGTTCATATGGGAATCATCTTGAAATTAGATGCTTCTAATAAAACAGGGCATTAAAGATGTTACTCATAAAGTCTTCTGCTTTTTGTGAACTCTTTATTACTCTTTGCAGACTCAATAAATGTTGGGAGTTGATTTTGGTTTATTTAGCATTTTGCCTTGCCTAAAGCCTCATGGCACTAGCCCGTATCTAAAGTTACTGTGAGAAAAGAAAGAATTAATATGTAAAATACAGAGCTAGAAAAAGTTGAAAGTTAAAGCTAGTATTTTTTGTGAGGGTTGCCTACAAAGTGACATCCGTATGGTTACTCATCTCTTCCTGGCTTGGAAGGCTCTAAAAGGTAGGTAGAACCCGACCTATTTGTAAAGATACACATTATTCGCAGATATAGCTGTGCAAAAAACTGCTGCAACAGACTCGCTTCAGGTCAGGCTTCTTTTAAGCTAACGCTTGTTTGCAGTCTGTACCTCTGGGTGAAGTCTCTGGCAGGCATTGTAACTTGAATGTGCTATGACATATTACGTGACCTGTACTGCATGCCTTTGTTTATACTATCGTACTGCAACAAAACCAGACTTTTTCTTTTTCTTCTCTTCTCTAATATAGATTGGGGGATGCTGCAGTCTTAATGTCTTTTCTGTACGTGACAACAGATTATCTCGAATTCCCTCTGAAATTTCACAAGCCACTGAACTCCATGTCCTGGATGTTGCTGGAAATAGGCAAGAGATTTTTGTATTGTAACGTTCTTTTGCTGGATTTACTTAATTCTTTCTAACAACAAAAGATACTACATCTAAGAATGAAGTAACAAAAAACCAGTTACGACTTTTGTGTTAGCGTTACTGTTGAAATTGCCGAAGTAGTCTTCCCCCTTAGCCCAAAGTAGCATAAATTATGTGTTGTCATGAGTACGTTTTCTGGATTGCTTTGACCCTGAGGAAAAGATAGGATTTTAAAAAAACCTCTGGAATTGTGTATTTCTGAATTAAAATTTGTATATTTCTGAAAATCTAGGCAATTTGGTAGAGCTTCAGCTGAAACTACCAGCCTTAATGTCAAGTAACACTAATTGAGTGTCTTGTCTTAGAGATACAGTGCAAGTAACAAATAATGCTACTTTGACCTTGCAGCTTCTTATGAATCTTAGTTGATATTCTTCAGACATCAAAATGCAAAAAGGATTGAAGCATAGACCAGCAAATTAGTTCAGTTGTTTAGTAGGAAGTTAAATGGAAAAAAAAAAAAAAAGGAGGAAAAGCAAATGGCATCTCATCTATGCAATATAATTGTCTCATAGGCATTGACATATTTCTGTTCTGGCAATTGTGTATATATGAGGCTTCAGAGCAGAAGCAGCTGTCTGCCTTCCAGGGCATTTTACTGCAGTAGAAAAAGGTCGGCATTGTTATCTGTTATTCACAGCTACAGAGAATTATGGTATAAAGTTAAGCTGCAGATTCTTTTTAAAAGAATGGAGTAGTTGGAGTTGATGACTACTGCAGTGCCTTCTATTAGAGGCATTAATCTCAATCCTGTTTATTCCAGCTCAGGGATACATACTTATGAATTGACTTCATGACCATCTATTATATCTCCTAGAGATTGCCCTGACTTTTTTACTTTTGTTTTTTGAACTAGGCTGACGTATCTTCCCCTCTCACTGACTACCTTAAAGCTGAAGGCTTTGTGGTTGTCTGATAACCAGTCCCAACCTTTGCTGACGTTTCAGACTGACACAGACCCTGAAACAGGAGAAAAGATTTTAACATGTGTATTACTTCCTCAAATGCCTTCTGAGCCTGGTTGCCAAGGTAAATGCCTACAGTCAGTTTTTGCTTACTTACAGAAGTACTACTTCTTTGTTTACTGTGTTGTCTGTTCCATAAAGGTTTGTAAACATGCATAAGCTCTAATGAGCAAAGTAGCAAAGTTCTGGTTTAATTTTCACTTTTAAACTTTTTTGTTGGTTTTTTTTTTTTTGTAATCATACTAGTTTTCAAAAGACTTGAAAAACATGGCTGTGAGTGTTACTGAAAATACAATGACACCAGCTACAATAAATAAAATATGGACCTGGAAGAAGAAGACTTAATAGTATCTTTATTCTGAGGCTTGCCAGTGGGCCAAGTAGTGGTGTCCATATTTGTGTACATTGATTATACATCTTAAATACATACATATGTAGTGAAAATTGGTGGCTTGCCAACTACAATCTCTTTATCAGAAAAAATAATTGCATAGCTAGTAATAAGCAGTAGACATTTTACTTCTTAGCAAGCTAATTTTCTTTCAAGCGAAGATGCTGTACAGTAACTTTATTATATTCTTCAACAAGTGCAGAATCGCAGTGTAAGTTGCTTTTAGCTTTTGTGCTGAAACTTGCCTCTGGGTCAGTTTATGGTGGAACCATAAACTCTTTTTCACTGTTGGCTGGGTTGCTGCTCCAGTAACTTCTGGATGTTTTTTGTCCTCAAGCTTTTATAGCAGTGTGTGAACATTCAAGGGGATTCATCTGAGCTAATATTTAACCTTTTGCTGTAATCACTGGAGAGTAATTTATCCCATCCAAGAGTAGACTTTCAAAAAAACCCATGTGGATTCTTTTCCACTGAGTGCAAAGGGGGCCTGAGAAGAAAAACTCAGCTGTAAATACCCAAATTTACCTAGATTAATTCCACTCTTTCAATACTATGCAGCTGGAGCAAATAGAAACCATTAAAGCAGTAGAAGTGTAGAGTGTAGACATGGCTCTGTTTTGTGTCAGCTTCTGGATTTTAAGAATACAGATTGCATTAAGAGTTAAAATAAGTAAATTAATTAATCCCTTTAGATTTAGTGAAGATTAAGCTAGCTCAAGAAGAGTAACTGAAGTAAACTGACTTTCTCTAAAGGCCTCACTACTAGAAACTAGATTTCCTCGTCTCCAAATGAATCTCATGGCTTCAAGGGTAGAAAGCTTCGAATTAAGATGGTTGGAGGTGTATGCCTAGCAGTACTAAAAGGATGCGGTCAGTAAAAGCAATGATCCTGTGTTATGGAGTGCCATTTAGGGAACTGGCTAATGTCAGATGGCAGCGATGATCCAGAAGAAAAGCACGTATAGTGGCAAGTATATTAAATTATATAATCAGTACTCTAAAACTGCCGCAAGCCTGAAACAGTCCAAGTACAGAAATTTCTCATTTATACAGAAACTATATAATGTGTGTACTTGATAACAGAAAATTAATGCATGTTCTATTCTCTATCAAAAAAATAGAAATAGCCAATTGTAGATCTCATATGAGCGATTGATTGGACATTGCAGTTATTAACAATATAGCATGTTGATATTTTAGACTTGCTGTGAATTTTTAGTTACATTTTGCTGTTCTAACAGATAACCTACCACGATGTGGTGCACTGGAGAGTTTGGTAAATGAAATGTCAGATGAAACATGGAATGAGCGGGCAGTGAATAGAGTCAGTGCAATTCGTTTCTTAGAAGATGAAAAAGATGAAGAGGATAATGAAATGGTATGTTTTCCAAGCTTTTTGGATACCTGCAGACACTGTGACTTTAAGGCAAAAGTGTAAAAAGTATCTGAGCTCTCTTGCTGTAAATATTTCAGCTGTGACTGCATGCTTTTGCATACGTTTGTAGCAGAAACTGTTCATGTTGACTGCTGAAACTTTTCATACTGACTTAAAATGCCTTTTTTTTTTTTTTTTTTTTCTTTTCCCCTGCTTTGAATATAACTTTTATGTTCTGATGCAGGACAGTCTTTGTTTTGCTTTGCTTTCCTGTGTCTGCTCAGGATGTTTTCTTTCTAGAAACAAGATAGGATCTTCCTCTGCATCTGTGAAGCTTTACTGCCTGAAAGTATATAGGGTCTAATTTAGGATTTCAGCACTCTGGCATGTGTCTCCATTAAGTTTGCCGTTGTTTGTTTCTCTAATTTCTATTTCCAATCTCTTTCTTTCTCTTTCTTTATTTCTTCTTTTTTTTTCCTCCACCATTTGCATTGAAACAATCATAGTGTCCATAAACAGCAAGAATGTTGCTCATTAGTTTCCCACTTAAACAAAGGATGTGGGAACATCTGTCACTGTACTTATAAGACCTCTCCATTAAGTTGGGCTCTGCATGTCCTGAAGATCAAAATGCAGTGTGATCTTTAGCTTAGTACTAACTTTCACTAACAATTAAAACTCTTTGTAAAGATTAAGACTGCTTCAATCAGATTTTCAGCATGCTTCTCTGATGCTCTAAAAACTTGCTGGTGGTCCTCATTAGAGCTCAGCTTGAGATACTCTGGGACACTGTCTGGGTTGTAGCACACTAGAAACATGGTCTTACTTTAAAAAGCGACTATTAAAATGCTTAATTGGTAGGGAAATGAACATTTAAGTTTTCACGTAAGGTAGTTGCTTAATCCAAAGCAGCAGAAACTAAATGTCTCTGACAAGTGTGGTTCGTAGACTGACTGATAAGGGAGTTCAGAATGATGCTTCTTAACACCTGTGCCAACCCGAGAATATCCATACAATAATGAGGGCTCAGGTGTTAATGGTAACTGCTTTCAGTCATGGTATTACAGACTGACTTGAGGCAAGAACGTTTTTAGGGGAAAAAGAAGTTTATGATCCTACTGGGGAGGAGGAAGGGTGGATTTCCAAAGCAGTCTTGACCAATTCACCCATTTAGGGGTCATCAATTCCACTGTAATCTGCACAGTTTATATGTATGCCACTGAAAATTAATTGCATGTATATATGTATTGTACTGATACATATTTGTGCAATTATTCTTGGTGTTCTGTTGGTCTCTAATCTGGATGCTAACCGGGGTTTTTGTGAATTTTGTTTTTCTTGTAAAGGTTTCAGCACAATGATGTTAGACGTTCTTGTGTCTAAGATGGGAGAGAAATGCTCCCTCTTCTTCCTGTCAAGATATTTGTTCTCAATTGACAAGAGAACCAAACTGTGTGGTGGGGCTGGAAGGCATACAGAGCTCCGCACAAACATGTATTTGACACTCTAAAGAGATCTTGTGGGATTCTTTGAAAACCAGCTGAATGTTTTTTGTTTGAAATGTGATCTTAAATCACTTAAATGGTTTTTGGGGGAAAACAAAAAAAATTCCCAACTATATTTATGAAAGAATCTTCACTTCATAACTTGTAATTGTACTTCACTTGAGTGGCTTTCAGATTAGTAGGTCAAGAGAGGAAAAAATTTGCTCCTAGACAGTTCTTAAAACCTCTTTCACTGTCTTCATAAACGAGCAGCTATGAAAATAACGTTCAATGTAGAGTTTGAAAAGGAAAAGGGGGCAAAAATAGAAAAATACCGATACCTAGTATTTGGTATGTGAATGCTAAAGCCTTGAAAGTGTATGTTGTTTTTCAAAGAGACGAAGGCAAAACCACTTATTGCGCTGTTTATTTTTAGAGAACACTTCTAAGGCGAGCCACTCCACACCCTGGAGAATTAAAGAACATGAAAAAGACAGTGGAGAATTTACGGAATGATATGAATGCTGCTAAAGGACTGGATTCAAACAAAAACGAGGTCAATAATGCCATTGACAGAGTGACCACTTCTGTGTAGAGTTTCATCTCCAGGTTTTACCTCCTGTGTCTTCCCCTGCTGTTGAAATGTTCCTGTCGTCTTCTGGGACCTCACTGAGCCCCTTTTTTGTTTTTAACCAGAACCTGATTCATCATCTCCATATATGTGAAAAGTGCTGCCCACTGGAAGAAAGTGCCTTATTTCATCCAGGCAGTGAACCAATAATTTCCAAATCAATATTGTAATTTTAATAGTGCTAGGCCTTTTTTAAGTATAATACACTACTGTATGCAGAATACAATATTTTTGTCTTAAACACAGGGGAAATAATGCTTTTCTTTTCCAGAGTGCTGGGATATCTTTTTCCCAGTGGCTGGATGTGCTGGTGAGAGATATAGTTTTGTGGAAAATTGATACTCTTTTTTATTTTTTTGGCAGCTCAGATGGTGTAAATTTTAAATTTTTGTATAGGACTTTCATAACAAAATGATGTATTTCATTTTTAAGAGAAAATTTATCTTGAGCGGTACATATTTTAGTATTTGTGGAAGAGAACAAGTTTCATGGACAACTGTATTCATTCATTTGTACCACCCATTGTGCCTTATTGTGTCTTGTATGTCATATTAGTCTTAAATATAGCAATTCTTGAGGAAAGTGAGTAGATTTAAACTTGGTCTCCTGTTTAAGATATGTTTTTCTTTTTGGACAGTAATTTGTTGGGATTTTTACAGCAGAGAACTTATGTTTATATCATGGGATTTTAGGTCGTGAAGCACAAATGTTAGTTTTGTTGTAAACAGAATTAAGATTAAAATGACCAAACTGCTATTGTTTATTACATGATGCACTCACACTTTAACTTAGTTGTAATGAAACATCTTGGTTTGGATGCCATGTTGCATTGCAGTCACTAGAAATTCATGCTTCCGTTGTTTTTTTTTTTAAATGTGCCATCTGTAAAATAACTTGAAAAACAGCACGATAGACTTTCAGAAGCACAGTATGAAACTAGTTTTATGTATTACACAAGAAAGCATGATTCTTTAAAGTGCTTTGGTGGTTTTATATAAATATATAAAACCATAATAAAAAAAAGTCTTTAAAAGCTTCAGTAGATTTATTGTATCATTGAAATAGCAATTGAAGTATGTGTGACTTAATACTGGAATTTACTATCATTGTTACTGGGTTGCACTTCCAGTGGTCCAATGCTGATTTCAAGGTCTTATTAAATCTGTGGGTTCTGATTTGTTTGTAAAGGTAAGTATTAACTGAGTTGAATTCAGTAAATAACAATTTTGCGAAAGGATGATTTTGATGTCTCTGGGTTCTGTATGTGCCATGAACTAACAAAGACCACTAACTTGTTCAGTGCAGGGACTTGAGCAGTCTGAGTTCAGAGCAAAGATTTGACATATTCAGTGTGAGCTAATGCAATGAACCCAAATTTCAACAAAATGAAAGACCTGACACTTCATGTATGGCTAACCACATCCCTTCTTCTGCTGAACATTTCTTCCAGTAAGCGTTGGTTGTATGAGGGTTTCTGAGAGAAGATGGGAAAGGAAAAGATAAGGGAAGTCGTAATAACTTCTGTGTTAAAATTAATAATGGCAATATTTGATAATTTTTGTCATTTAACTTTTTGATTTGAAGCTTTTACAAAAGGCACTGCTTTCTTTTTGCTATTGAACAAGTAGGTAATGCAAGCCATCTGCAAATATTCCAGTCTAACCTAAATATATTAATTTTTGTGATTTCTTCTCATCCCAGAGATTCCTCATTTAAGCTTCAAGGCATGGTCTCTTTGCAGGAGCTGCTGCAGGGTGAAGGTGTTAGGTTAGTTATGGGTAGCGCAATTTCCTTCTTCCCAGGGCAGAGTTCTGCCAGTTGTTCTTGGTAAGCTGCTGTTAAAATAAAAACAGAAAGAAAATGAGGTTTTGGTACAGTTGACTCCAACCTTGGGCAGAATTTTCTTTTTAAAATACTTACTGGGACTGACACAACAAAAGTTTAAAAATGTAGGAAACTCTGTCTCCAGCATCCAAGTAAACCTCGGCAAACCCATTTGAGATGAAAATGAGTTCCTAAAAAAGACAGACCAAAGCCAAAGGCAGCAAGACTCTGTGCTCTGTGATGACAGTTTTTCATTTGGAGGCTGTGGTTTGTTTTGTTTTTAGCATCTGACCTCTCGAATGGTCCATATGTGTGTCATTTCATAAAGGTATGGTTTAGGTACACTTCCCCTCCCAACAGTGTCGATAAGGTTCCAGACAGTTTTAACTGTATTTTATAGCCAGAAAAGGCTGATGATGTTTGTTATGCTGAAGCAGTGTATGTCCTTGAAAGCATGAGCCCTCCCTTCCCAGTCTCTGTTTGGCTCTTTTCTCTTGCTGATGCTTTGAGGAGCCTAAGCAGTGAATATAATTTTGTAAACATAACTTTTGGGGTTTTTTTCCTCTTTAAACTTTTTCTACTTTTTTAATTGTGTCTTTTGGGGGGTGGGTCTAATGCAAAGAAAGAAACACTACAAAATTTGCATGCTGCTTTATTAGCTGAACAGGTAACCAGGGAAAAGCAATTGACCACAGTGATGGAGTGGATTTAATATTAACCTGTCAGTTACTGCACGCGAGTTCTCTTTATTGAAAGTCACAATTCCATAGTCTTAGAAGAGTAGGAAAAAGAAAAGCACTCACTTGCTACCATTGTTAGTGTAGTTAGTGTAGCAACAGATTTTTCCACCCCCTGTGTGTTGCTCCAGGCTTTTTCCACAGCTTCCGTATAATTTATGTGTCAAGATTATTTTTCTGGCTTACATGCCATATTTTTGATAATCAGCGTATTGTGGGAAAGTGAGTGCTGGAAACTTGCACTGTCCTTTCCAGCAAATGACTTGTTTGTGTCCCGGACAAGCTGATCAGCCTGCTTCTTGTCTAATATTAGTGCTTTACCAGTGCTGGATGAACCATTTTTAGTTGATTAGCTACTTAAAGATTTCACTACTTGCTGCTCACGAATTCAGCTTTTGAGAGGAGAGTAGTGACACCAGGAATTTAGTTTTTTTAAAGTATATTCTTTAGTATATCAGTTGATCCTAGCCTGGCTGACTGTAAATATCTACCTCCCTCTGAGACTGGAGCATACTAATTATCATGAATGTCTAGACCTTTTGTTAATGGAGAATTCACTGTCGTTCTTTGCTTTGACTCTGGAAAATTTTTTTACGTTAGTTTTTCAATTGACTTCAATTGACTTGATAAGAGTGTTTTCCATCTTCAATTTCTGTCAAACACGCAAATCTGTTTCCGTGCTTAGGTTGCTGTCAAAGAAGATGACAAAAGCGGACTGGTCTTGGCTATCATTAAATGTTTTGGGTGTTCCTTTCCTCCTGAACCAGTTGTGAAATTTTCAGAGGGACAGTGCCTATCCTCTTTCATTCTGAAGTCGGGGATATAATCAGTATTCAAACAGCTTAATGAAAAATGCGAGATTTTTTCAAAGTGGAAAAGCAGATACCTGGTTTGAGGACAGCTTTGTGAGCTGCCTTGCAGAAGCCATCTTATCTCCTCTTCTGGTGGATGTTGGAGAGACTATGCGTTTTATCGCCTCTTGTACGGTTCCTGTGGCAGCAGGACGGCCAGTCTGGGGTTTTGCTGGAGCAGAGGACTTTGAGGGGCTCGGTGCATGTGGCTGGACTGTACCTTGCCTAACTTCAGGAGCGAGGGTTCATGGCAACTCTGGTTTTGAATTTGTAACTTGTTCAGGGTGTGCCTCTAACACTGTTGTTAGTCTATTAACACTGAGATCTTGAGAAGCAGCTTATCTTTATACAGGAGAGGTCCTCTTCTGAAAAGTACAGCATCAGTATTGTCCATGGGAAGGACTCTGTGGCTCCTCAGTGATGCTTCAGAGAAAGGTTTTGGCAAATCTCCCTTGGCATTAATACCGGGAAGTTGACACCTGATGTCCAGTAACTTTTGACACTTTTCCTGTTTGTGCTCCTCTGTTGCTGGAGAATGTTGTCTTGACCGAAATCTCTGGATGTGCAGCTGGAGGAGGCATGGTAACAGCCATACCCAAAATGTTAGCAACGCTCACTGCAGTGGACAAGTACTGACTGTGGTAACTTTCCTCAAAATCCACAGATGCACACACAGCTTGCAAATACCACCGAAGCATCAGGAGCTTGAATTTCAGTTTGTAGGCATCCCCATAATAATGCAGAGACAGGACTTAACTCTGCAAAGTTAGTTTTGTGTTGGACTAAGACTATCTTCTTTTGGTCCAAGGCACACGCGAGCAATTTAGTAGACTATGCTAGTGATGAAAACACTTTGATTCTCTCTGATCTCTCCCAATAACTTGCCAGTTTTACCCAAACCCCCCAAAAATGGGCTGCATTAAACCATTTTGAAGTAGCTCATGGCTACTCATAGATAGCTATCTATAATCGTAGCTCATAGATATGATTGTCCTGCATTTCTGGAGGATTAGCAGGGCACTACATGATCATAAACGTGAGTGAATTTCTCTGTAGTTTGCTGATGACATCATGGACTTCCACTAAGCAACTTAAAACCAAAACAAAATCTAAACTAACAAAAAGAGTGATTATTTCAATATGGCTGGTGATTTTTTTTCCATTCAAAAGGGGAGAAAACTGCAAGTCTGAAGAACATTTGCATAGTGGATGTTTTTAGGATAACCTACAGCAAATTTTTTTTTTTAAATGATGCCTTCAGGAAATTCAAAAATCTTATCTGGCTAGTTAATACGTGAACATTTTAAGTTTAAAATTAAGTCATGTATTTACCTCTAGCAAAGTTTCCCTTCCCTTCCAAAGTGGAAGGCTTGCTTCAATAATCTGTTCAAGCAGCTTTTATGTTGCCTCTTCTACAGTGAAAGCATATTCAAGGATGCCTTTGTTTTGGCAGCATTTTGTTTAGCTTTCATTCTTATTTCATGCAAATCACACAAAGCTCTTTTAGAGACAGCCTTTTGTACTTTAAAGAGGGAATGAGTCTGAAATAGTTTTCAATTAGTAGAATATGTTATGTATAGTTGTACTTAAAAGGAAGAGAATGTTTATATTCTAGGAAATACATCTTTAAAGACATTTTATTTTCCATACTTACTAATTAGTTAAGCTATTTAAACAAATCTTTTTTTTCTTTTTTTTTTTTTTTTAGTAGAAAAATAGTCAAGAATGTGTGTTTGGGGTTTTGAGTTGAATAATAATAGCAGGTGTATTACCACTCAAATATTCTTGGTAACTGAAAGCACTGGCTTCTACTTGCCAATGGTGACCAGGCTGTTGCTGTGAGCGGGGTGTTCCATTGTCACTGTACGGTTTCAGTATGGTACTTCAGCAATGTGGGTGGTTTTCATGTCTTGGCTTTTAATGTTAGGGTGTTTTGGGTTCTTTTTCATTTGCCAGAATGATTTAGGGTGATACATAACATTTGCACACCTTTGTTGCCTGGAGGAAATTCATTCTCTAGAGGATTTATTAGTGAGATCTTATCGGAATAGACACCTTGTACTTTATGAGAACAATTTGTCCTTTTAACACACAGGGGTATGATACAAAGGAGTATGTGTGTTCTGAAGAGACTGCCTTTAAAAACATGAAAAACATGTTGAAAGGAGGTAAAAAGGGAGCCCACCTGACTTGCTGGTGAAATATTGAAGGAAAATGACCTGTTACCAATCAGTTAAGATCATTACTAATGAAGGGAGATGAAAAAGGTATTTCCATGGAACATAACAACTGCTGAGGCCAATAAATAGTTTTTCCCTCCAAACAACTTCTGCATTTTCAAAACATCAGTGTTACACAGTCCAAATACCCGTGAAGCTTAAAGTCCTAAATGCTGAATTTGCCTTCTTCCTTTGTTTTATTCCAAATATTTTTAAGGGAATGTAGATCTATGTACCTCTCTCTGTGTCTGCTACTAGTGACTTAAAACATTGACCTTTTAGATCTTTTTCGGCCTCAGCTTCCCCATATAAAACACAAGAAGAAACTTCCTACCTTACCTGGGTGGTAAGAAGACCAATTACCATCTGTAAAATTCTGTAAGGAGAACTGATTTTTCTCTCTGAATATTAGGATATTCACCAGTAGCCTCTTCTGTCTCAAAGCATGGTCCTATAGTATTTAATATAATGAGAATGAGCTAATAAATTACTGGAGGTTTTTAAAGGTAGCTTTATTTTTGGAGTACAAATCTACTATCTGTTCGCTGAACTGTAGCAATTTCCACCTTGAGGGGTGATGGGAGCTTATTGCCCATCTAACGCAATTTTCATTAATACATCAGAGTAAGGAGTTGGTTTTATTTTTGGGAGGGAAAACAAAATCCGGTAAAAAAATCTTTTCTAGTGGTTGCTTTGCATTAAAGCATTAAAGCACAGTAAACAGAGCTGCAGCTTCTCTTCCTTGTAGCAAACTCTGCATGTGACTGGCCTCCCTAGGAACTTGCAGCGCTGTGTAGCACCTTGGCTTTGTCCAAAAGGATGCGAAGAGCTGGGCATGGTAACACTCTGGCAATCCATGGGTCCAGCAACAGCATCCCTGGCTTTCACTGTTCCTCACCTTATATTGCTACTGAACTCCGGATTAAAAGTCCACTATCTTATTTCCACCTCCTCCCCCTTTTTTTTCATCAAAAAGGATCAAGTTGTAAAAAATGATTGAGGATTAAGATTTGTTTTCAAAGTAATGTTAGCCTATGCTCACAGCAGCAGCATTCATTGGCTTTGTTTCTCCATTTTATTTCATGAAAGCATAATCCACAGGGTGTTTTGCTTACAATAGGTACATGCAAATGTAGGCTAAAAGGCACTTTTGATTGTTCCATTAAATCTTTCGCCGTTGATGTAGCCAAACTGTGAAACTGCTTTCATAAAGGTAATGCCATCCAGAGTATTGTATAGACCTAGTGAACATGTGAACAGCTCTTACCCAGAATTGTCATTTTGTTTCTATTTTAAAGTACTGTAGATCAAGAATATTGAAGACTAAAATCTCTTAGGTTACAGAAGGCGTGAGGTGTGAAACAGATACTGAATTTCCCTCATAGCTGTATGTCAGCATGAGGAAGAGCATCCTGCCGTAGGAGAAGGCAGGCAGGGAGCAGGAGTGCCCTGCAGCTCTGCCTCCCCAGCTCCTACTGCGAGGGGCATAGGGGATGGGAAATCTACTGATGGACATCAGCTGCTCCTCATGGGTACGGGAGGCTACCACAGCAGTTGAACGTATGCCTAAGATGGTGAAGTGATTGTCAGCATAAGCTTAATTTGAAATCCCTATCTGTTACCTTGAGAGAATAGCCTTTTATTGGTTTTACAGAATGTGGCAGGCTAGGTTTGAGAAGCTATAGTTTAGGATTAGGGATCGGGGTCAAACAAGGATGAGACATTTCCTTGGAAGAAGTTAAATGCTTCACTGTACCTGTGTTTATTTTTAGAGTGAAATTGCTTTATGACTTCCTAATGAGCTTAAAAGTTGGCAAGGATTTAAACTGTCTCTGGAAATACCCTGAACACTGGGAGGTGTCACATTAGCTGAAATAAAACATACCAAAACAATAGCAAAGAATTTCAGCCTGGTGTGCTATCTACCTACCTGATTAGAATTGCTATCCACCTAGTTAATATTCATAGGAAACAAAGCTTCTATTTAAGGGTAGCCTATGTTTCCTTATTCAAGGCAAGCGTACAGAAATACCAGATATCCTGCCTTGTGTTTTGAATTGTCAGGAGGAATGGGAGCCACTACCATGTCATGATTGTTTGTGCTGCTTTCGCATTCAATTCACTGATGAACTAAATTGACAATCAGCTCGAGTGTCCTGAGCAATGTGGTTTAGAATAACCAGAAATATGGGCTATTTATCAGCAAAGAGTGGTATCGCTGAGTGTCAGTGCAGTTCAAGATGTGGTTTAACAGCAAATTTCCTACAGAGGCCAATCATGCCTTCTATGTACAATGCAAATAATCCTTTGTTGGAGCTACGATCTTTTCAAGACTCACAGAAAGGTCTATAATATTTTCCAATGAGATGCTGGGATACTGTCCTTGTCCATTTCTTAGTCTTTTCAGCTATCCTAAAACCAAAAGCAAATGAAGAATCCCAAGGGGAGCTCCGTCGGCAGCTGGAGGTGAATCAGTATGTCCAGCATGAACAGCCTTGTCATATCTCCTTTTCTTTCTCAACCTTAGATCTAATAGAGATGGTGACATCTGGGATGCTGATAACAGCAAGAAATCCGTGTGTGTGTGAATAGAACCATTCTGCGTTAAAAAGGAAAAATGGGAGTTTAAAGAATGGTTAAATCTGAATCAAATATCTGTTTAATCAATGTGAAAGTCGCTGTGTGCTGCTGATTGCCCCACCGTAAGCTTGTTGATAATTCTTTTCGTTAGTGTTCTCCATCTCTTTACCTTGTTAGAGCACGTGCGTTAATGTATCTGTCTATATGGCATCAGGCTGCTTTCTGCCATTGGGTTTGTATCACCATAAGAAAATTTAAAGGCTTATTAAAATAAAGCTTAAAAGAAAGATAAAGGTTACTTTGAAAAATAATGACTTCTGAAGGTCAGTGAAATTAAGGTATATAGGCAACCTTGACACAACTTGTCATGTATGAACTTCTGTGTATGAAGAAGAGAGGTAGAGTTTTTTGGATGTAAATGAGTAATGGATGTTTTGGGAAAACGGGACTATAATCACTTTGAAAATCAGCAAACCTTAAAAGATCAATTTAGTATTGTACTTTCTATTGGGACCGTTCAAGAAATGGAACATTTTATTTAATGAATAATGAAAAGATGGGGATGACTTGATTTTTTTTTTTTTAACTCAGGTCGTGAGATGAAATGGTCACTAAAGGTTTAAGTACTCTTGTTTGTTTTCTTAATAGTACAGAGTGTAACGATATTGAAGACTGTTGTTGATCATTAATTCTTCTTTACGATGCTGAAGGTGGGCTTGGTTCCACACTGATGTAAGTCCCTGAAGGCTTCCACTAATTTCAGCAGCCTTCGCTTGCTCTTTGTATCACCAGTATTGCCCGTTAGCTGGCAAAGTGTCTCTCTGGGACTGAAGGTACCTCTCAAGGTAAAAAGGGGAAACCCAGTATTTACAAGATACTAAAATACCTTGCGGAACTTTCCAGACAATTTCTGCACGTACATACTGCAATCACTTTCTTAAAATCTATTCATTGGCTTTTTTTTTTTTTTGTCGTCTTCCTCTCAGGACTCTATTAAGTGGCTTCCCAAGTCTCCTAAACTGTACAGTGGCCATAACTGGAGTTCCCAGGGCTCTCGCTGGGCCTCGTTGAAAGGAAAGGAAAGTTTTCACGGTGGTAACCTGTACAAATTCAGTTCTGCTAATGGAAAATGGAGGGAAGGAAGGATCAGTCCCGAGCAAGAAGCGGAGGAGCTGGAGGATCCTGATGATGTAGGTAGTCTCCTTGAAGTCAGGAGGGACAATGTTGTGTGTCCGTCAAGAAACTCCAATCTGCTTGTAGTGCTGTGCTGTCGAGCGCTTTGGGTTAGCGGGAGGCTGCACTGCCTGTACTTCACGTCCTTGCTTGTGCAGAGGGTACAGAATCACGTTCAATGTTTTATTCCTTTGCTTTGCTTGCAATTAAACAATCCATCCAACCCCTGAGAGTACAGTGCAACTTGCAGGTTGAGTAACCTGAGCAATGATGAGGTACGTACTTTTTTTATTTTACTCCTACTTATATCCCCAGTACCAACATCCCTCCATCTCTTTCAGGTAAGCAGGTGGTTAGCAGCGCTTGCAGCTCGGTGTCTCCTAAGGACTGGATGGTAGAAAAACGAGGTTGCAGTGCTACTCCACTGCATGTATAGTTTTGGATAGCGCTCTTCAAGAATGCTGATGTCTGGGAAACCCTGGGTGCTGTGGTTTCTCTAGCCTGTGCCCACCAGGTGTCTGTCACCTGGGCAGCAGCCTGGCTCTTCTTCTTGGGCATAGCCTGGGAAAAGGAGGTTGGGATTGCACTCTTGCAGCCTTTCCCTTTCAGGGCATTGCTCACCAGTCTTTCCTCCAGATGTTTGCTGGGAGTTGAGGGAGGAATTGGGGCTCCTGCTCCTCTGCCAGGATCTCCGCTCCCTTCCTAGCCCCCGACTGCTGCTGGTGTGCCCCCTCCTCCAGCCCCCACTCTTGCTCCTGGCCTTTCTCCCCGGCACCCACGGCACTACTGATGGGCCCGGGTTAGCCAGCCCCGCGCCTTGAAGAGGGGTCTCTCTGTCTTGAAGAAAGATAATGAATGTTTTATGTGAGTTAAAGCTAAACAAATTCCCTTTTAATTTTAAGTGAAAATAGGAAGCAGTCATGCCCTGCTTGCTCTCCCCAGGGTTGACAATGCTTCTTTCCATCCCAACCAAAAAGAGATGTGGGAAAGCTCTGACGTAGATTGAAAACTGAAGTGTCTAGTGGGGTTTCTGCACAGCTGTTCATGGAAATGCCACTGCTTTTTATGTCTGGTATTAAACTTCCAAGCTTAGGAAGACATTTATGGGGTTTATTTTCAAAGGTGTTGACCTTTGTTTGCTGTATCATTTTACTGCCAACAGAAGATAGAAGGATTAAGGTAATATGAAGATTTGCTCCTTACCCATCAAATTAAGGAGCAAAAATCAGCTAAATATCAATAACGTATCTATAAAATGTGAACAGAATTCAGATACCATGGCTGAATTTCATTTAACCACTTTGCCTAGCATAACTGATAACTGGAAAACGTCGTTGTGTTTTGCAGTCAAACTTGTCTGAAGCTTTAATTGTTTGGTGGATGTGTTTTAATTGCGTATTTCTCTTCTCAAGCCCTTGTGGTTTAGCTAAGCATAGGGTGACATTGTCAGTTCCTCACTGCATCTCAGAGTGGGAACAGCCTGCCTAGAGCCAGCCTTCAAAGCAGGCTTCGGGATGCTCACCTTTGAGGCTCCACTTCCAGTGGACCCCTAAATTACTGAATTTGCGGGTCTCCACTCATTGCCGTTTGCAGCTAAATAAAGTCAATCCAATTACTTAAACAAAATCTTCTCTTAGAGATGTAGATGCAGGGTAAGGGCTTGCCTTCCCTCTCACACCTGTGCTCCCAAAACCAGAACGTGAGTCTTGAGGAACTGTGAGAAATGTTTTATTTTCTGTATGGAAAGCCCTTTTCTTTGCCTCATGTGTGTGGTTCCTTGCCCAGGGACAGCGGATTCAGTGCTGCGGAGCTGCCAGACGCTGCCCAAAATAGTCTCGTTCTCATGCTCCGTCATTTTCTCAGGGCATTGCAGGATTTAGTTGGGTATATGTGTGTTATATGTGCTAGTGTGTGCCAGGTGATCTAGAGAAAGGCTGTATGAATCCCAGTCCTCTCCCTGTTCCCATAATTTCCACCCCCATGTTGAGAGAAAACCATGCCCAGAGAAATAATGGTAAAAGATAAATACCTGTACATTTGCTTTAAAGTTGTAGTTTTGTCTTCAGTGAAACAAATCCTAATGTACAGCAATGTGATAGAGAGGAACAAATCCAATTTACCATGGGTAGGGTCTGGGTATCAGATAAGTATTCTTGCTGTTGCCGTGTTTACCTTTTTTATCTTTAACCCCAGGAACCTATTTCCAAGTTTTCCGGCAGCCTTTTTGATACCGACGATAACATGAGAGATCAAAGAAATACCAGAACAGCTCTTCAAGAAAAGCACAAGTCGGCAATGAAAGGGAAGACTCCTCCAGGGACTAACACTAAGGTGCAGCCACCCATCTCGGCAGCAGGCAGCTTCCCCGGCGAGAGCGGCCGGATCCCGGAGGAACTGAGGGCGGTGGATGCGCCACAGCCCCCGCTGAAGGTAGTGAACTGCTGCATGGGCTGGGCTTGCTAATGGGGGGACTCCGCGTGCCCGTGGGGAAGTCCGTGTGTCTGTGGGAAAGTCCACGTGTCCGTGGGGAATTCCGTATATCCATGGGGAGGTCCGCTGCTTGTGCGAGGGAGTTTATAAAACATGCAAAGAAGCGGGGACGTTGTATGGTAGATGTCGTGAGACTTATCTTTCACAGAGTGTAGGCTGAGGTTTGTCCTTGCTCCCACTGGATTATATGGAAAAAGAGTTTTCCGTTAAGAAAACAAAAAAGCTTTCTTTGTAGCCATTCGATACTGTCTCATTTTATATATCCAGCTTTGGTATTGGAAGGTCAAGCCAAGGGTGTGTGCAGGTGGGCACTCAGCTAAGTCTTCACTTAGTCCATGGTTTAGGAGCAGTGGCATGGCCTTACCCTCACGGCATGAGAAAGCCTCCATCCCGTGAAAAGGGATGGAAATGTTCAAGTATCAGTGAGAACTGCAAGATTTGGGCTGAAGTTTATGGAGAAAGCTATACTCTGAACTCAATGGATATATCCCGTCTTGGCATGCTTTGGAGCACATGAGGAGGAAACGTGCTTTATGGGTTGGCTCCCAGGGGTGGCCCAGTACGGATCACACCTCTGCTGACCGTCCTTGCGGCGGGAGATGCAGAATTGTGCTGCGTCCCGGGGTGGCGGGATGCAGCCTCCAGGAAAGGCAGCTCTCCCGGCGTGGCACCCGTGCTGGGACCTGGCACCAAAGCACTGCTGGTAATCATGGGCTTGTGAAGTCTCGAGCGTGCGGGTAACGCTGAGTCTAACCACCATTTGGCAGGGTGGTTTTCATTTGACTGATAGGGTATTTTCATACCTTTTTAGGAATTAGGAATTTCAGATGAGTATGTTATACGTGCAAGAGTAACTGCATATGTTTGTTATATTTCGAAATGCAGCTGTGTTGAAATATTCTTAATTATGAAATGTAAGAAGTTATTCAAGCCTGAATTGTCTTAGACATATGAAGCAAATCAACGAAAATAAGAGCATTTTGCTAATGTGATCAGGTGAAATGCAATTTGCATTCAGATTCCCACTGCACTATGGCAAGGTGTTCTTTTTTTTGTGATTGTTGTTTTAACAATTAGCAAATTACTATTTACTACCAAGCATATTATATACTAAAGAAAAAAAAAACAACAACAACTGGGAAGAATAATTCTTAAATGTAAGCTGTCTTTGGAACTTGAAACTAATTTTATTTGGCCTTTGTTGTGAATTCTGTAAATCAAAAAATTATCTAAGATTTTGTACTAAATTTTTGCTGATACCAGCAGGAGGAGAATAGACTAGATAGATAGATTACAATCTATGCTGCTTTTTCAAAAGCTTCCTGATATTTTTACTTTTAAATCATTTGTTAGAGTACTGTCAAATCTTTTGACGGAGTTAACACATTCATACAGAAAGCCTATTTAAAGAAAAGAAAATCACCGTAATAGTGCTCAGAATCCATTATCTGTTATCAAAAGAGTTGAGAGTAAGCAAATCAGACTGTAAATGAGGTTCCAAAGCAAAGGTTTTTCATAAACTTATCAAAAAATATTTACTTTTCACTCCTCCTGTGTACTGGCATTGTTGCCATCATGAATGCTCAGTAAATCAGTGGGTTTTATGAAACAATTGGTTTGGTCAGCAGCCTTATAAACAGCCTTATATGGTTTTGGTGTGACTCTAAAACCTGGAGAAATAATGCATTCTTGGTGTTATTGAAGAGTAAAGGCTAGTCTTGCATGTGCCAGTGTTGAAGCATAGCACCATTTTGATCTGGGCTGAGCTCTATAGGGGCAAATCTGCTCGTGTTCAGAGTGGGAGGTAGATTTTCATTGCTCATGTAATTAATAGGCAATGTTTTTGATTAATCAGGCCACTTATTCATTATAATTCTTTTCCAGATAACCATTACTGTGTGCAGTCAAATGGGGAGTCTTGGTATTAGCATTGCTGGTGGAAAGGGCTCATCTCCATGTAAAGACAATGATGAGGTGCATTTCATTACTCAAAATTTATCTAGTAATCATTAGAAAGAAACTGATGAGCAGTTCTTTGAAGCTATGATGTTTTGTTGCTTTCTTTCTGAGATTTTCGTCATGTAACATCACTGTCTCCGTAATAAAGCTAACAAGGGTAAACGTGGGTAACTTATTTTCCAATGTAGAAGCTGGCAGTAGATTTTGATGGGGAAGCTCCCGGAGGGATGATTTTGGAGAGAAAACCCGATGATTTTCCAAAGACATCGTGATGGCTGAAACACCACTGGATAGTTTCCACTTTCTACCTCAATTTGGGGCCACTCCCTTGGCAATCCACATGCCTCTCCCATCCCATTTGCTCATTCTCAGGAGCTAACCTGATTTGAGAGAAGTATTTCTCACATCTTCTCACTTAATTATCATTTAAATAAGTCTTTGTTTCCCAGTCTGTCCCCCATGGCACAGTGTAAACAATTAATGACTTCTGTTCATTGTTGCATGTGTCAGCCAGCCATGGAGGCTTTTTTTTTCTCGCTAATGTGCTAAGACATTTAGTTTTTATTTTAATAGAGGCAGCAGAACAACAAGGCTTGAAAATTAATTACTTCCCGTTTGCTGTTTACATCTAAGAACAATGGAAGAAACCCTGTCAGGTCTGAAACCTGCCTTTTGTGTTACCAGGGGATGATGACTGCACGGCTGCCGAAAGATGGTCCAGCAGACTTGGCTGGGGTACAAGCAGGAGACAGAGTGGCAGAGGTAGGTGGGTTGTTTGTCACTGTGGAGTGTGTTCTCTTGTTGTTATCTTTCAATCAAATCACTCAGAGTTGGGGAATTTGAGATCTAGATCTAGGCTTGCCTTAGCTTTTTAGATACTTCTCAAACTACATTATAAAGAAATTATAATGACATTAAATTGTTGTATTCCTTCTTATTATATTCTGGTTTTCAGATCTTTATGTTCAAAGTGCTTAACAAAATATTATTCACTTAAATGGCTGATTCGTAAAGGAAAATAATGGTCTTAGTAAGCAGTTACGTAAGCACAAATGCAGTAGTATTTGGTCCAAGAAGCTTTCTTATGACATTGTATTAGATTTACTAGATAAGCTCCTTGCAGTTGTTACAAAGAAATATAAACTAGATGAGCTTGTTTCTCCGAGGTAATTTTTGGTTGGCAGAGAACAGCTCAAAGTAACTCCCCTGATGGAGGCTTACAGTGCCAAGTGCCAAGGGATAAATGCGTCTCTTGGGCTGCTCCACCTCAAGCCTCATCTTTCCTAGCAGAAGCCACTCTCTTGAGCTTCAGAGGTTCCCAAGACCGGTGGTGATCATGTACAGTTTTGTGATATATATTTTTGACCTACTGTTTGGTTTCCACCTGCTAAGAAAGGTAGAGTGGGAGGAGAGCCTCTACAAAATTACTTTGAGGTGAAACTCGTCCATAATTTTTTTCAGCTCTTGTTCTCTTGTCAGTTATACCTGGTTAAATTACTAGTTTTTAACCCAGTATACTCCTTGTTGAATTAAGGTAGGATAGAGCAAGCAATATTGTGTGTCTATTAAATTGCCAGGAATAAGGAGACAACCTACATCAGCCAAAGACAAATTAATGATAAATTAATGTACTAATTTTGTAAAACTATGCTATAGACTTAGTAATAGAGGATTGTGTTCCGGTTAACATTTTTTAAAAGGTTAATTACAGATAAAATTCTGTATCATTTTACCTTTTTTCTTCTATGACAGGATTATCCTTATCTGATTTTTGTATTTTAACAAATACGTGAGAGAATTTAAATAATTCTTTACATATTTCACATTATCAGATCATCAGGGAAAAAAACCCAAGATTTTTAGTTGCTGTACCTTTAACTTCTGAGCAGAGTTTCTGGTAAAGTCAGTATCTTAAAAATCAACCACTTTGCTCAGGTTCCTCCATGAGGCTGTAATTCAGTCTTACTTTTGGGGCTTATATTTGAAATATACTAGCTACTAAGGTCTGTTCATTTAATGAGTCGTGAAACAAGTAAAAGACAGAAGAAATTTCTGTTCCATACGGTTCTGTCCTGCTGTTGTTATCTTACAAATAGCTATGGTTTCTCTGTCTCCCACAAGATGGCAGAATCATTCATCTGTTTAAAGAAAGTAGAAAAAAAATCTCTGCTTTTTGTATGTGTGGGGGATGAGAAGGAATTAATGCATTCAGGTGTGCTATAGGAGTCCTAATGTTTTGACCACAGGACTAATCTGTGTACAAATAACCAGCATTTTTCTCTTGATACTATGTGTTACAACTTCTTATTCTTGAACTGACCATTTCAACAGTTCAAATATACAGTGTGTTCATCAAAAATGGGGAATGGCAGGAATTGCAATTTTATTTGCTTTTGTTGTGCAACCATATATAATGACAGGGCCAGGCATTTGTATACTAACCTGAGAGGGAGGGAATTGCTCTTCTTAAAAAGCATTCAGAATAAAAATGTGCATTTCTCCTGCTTTGTTTTTAAAGGCATCCCCCGTTTCAGAACCTGACGTCCTTGATGCTGGTCCTACTGAAGCTTCATCCAAGGGCAGCCCCTTCCCGGCAGTACACCATGTCATAACAGTAAGTAAGATGGCCCCAGTGAGTAACAAATCATTCTTAGCTAAGTACTTTGTGTTGTCTGTCATTAATGCTAGTAAAGATGGTAAAGACTGGCTTTGTGAGTGGCTGCGTAAGAGGAGAACACGTACCAAAGATCAGTGACCCCACCATGTGTTTACTTGGCTGTCACTGCAGCCGGGACGTGGCTTCTGGAGGAGCTCAGCGTAGCAGACCAGAGCTTTTGAAGCACTCTGGTCTGGGGACTTTAAGGGTGGTGTCCATTCCCTCCAGCTTAAATGTTTATTCTGTTGTCTGGACTCCCTCGCTAGCTAATAGAAGGAGCAGCATCTCCAGGGTGCCTCTCTTAGGAGGGAGAGGTTGAGCTGCTACCTGGAGGTGACCATTTTTATCTTTTGACTGAACTTGCGTGACAGGCTAAGACTGCATGCCCATATTTTAGGTGACTGATGTCAGAGGAGATTAAGCCTACCACACATGCCACAGAAGGAAATGGCTGAGCCCACAGGGTGGCTTTTAGAAATCTGATCCACTTTTGTGAACTTCTCTGAAAAATTCAACTCTCTGAAGACCTACCCCAAACATGGTCATCTGCCTGCACACCTGAAATTATGGCTTTTCTAGGAAGATATAAGATGATCAAGGTATCTGAATGATTAAGGTCAAAAAGCATCCTACTTGTATTAAGCCTGAAGTACCAGGAAGCAACAACTGTTTCTCCTACAGCAAATGCCAAAGGAATGCTTTGTTTGATTCCTCTTCTTCCAGCCTTTTCCTATCCTTTTCCAAGAATAACATTCACAACCCAGCTAATGGCAAAAAATGAAAGTTCATCTACTATAAAAAAGACTATAATCAAAGACCACATTCAGTTTTTGTTAACCATTCACATTTTTAAAAATAATGTGATTTGTTAGTTGACTGAAAAGTAAGCAAATAGACCATGCAAATCTGGTTTCCTCTGGTTTCCTATGTGGATTACCATTTAAGAAGGGTTAAGCTGCAGCTTTTGTCTATGAGATGGACTAACAAAGGTTTTCTCTTCTATTCAGTTGCTTAAAGAAACTTATTTTGAGGCCTCTGGTCTCCAACATCACCTTGTGAAACATTTAGACCAGTTTTATTTTCCAGTTGAAAACGCTTCCATCAATTTTTTTTTTTTTGTCTAGCTCTACTTGGTAGCTGTTTCTTATGGTCTTAACCTGCATTGCAGGAAGCACGAGGCTTCCAGTTAGAGGAACCACTGTTGGAAGGGTTGATTCATGCATTGCTAATGGCCTGGATCTGTTGCGGTAGTATCTGACTTTTAGTGTTTTCATCCAAAAAGAGGAAGTTACCGTTTTTTATGTTGCACGCCTCTTGGAAAATAATTGCCTCCCTTGAAAGTTCTTCAGCTGCAAGGGAAGGAGGAGGCAGATTAGACCAAGCTACTTACCTTAGAGCACAGTAGACAGAGGGAGTCAACTGGATGAATATGTTCCAAGTGTCAAAAGTAGCCAATGTGCAAGTTCTTTCATGGAGAAACATTTGTATTTCTGGTTTTGTTTCTTCTTTTAATCAAAATCTTTGTGCTGTAGCAAATTGTGTCTGTTATTGCCTTTAACCTAAAGCAGCATTCATCAGTCTTGAGGATTATGGGCTTTTGCGGAGTATCCTGCTGCCTCGGGAACTGGTCAGTATCTCATCTGCTCTCGCTCTGGGTTTACTCTGGTGAAGTTCCTCTTATTCCTCAGTAACTGTCTTATCTGAAAAATGTTTGCAGCCTGGCTTCTTATGAAGGACATGCTTTGCATGTTCAGATAAGCAGATGGCAGTAGGACCTTAATGCAGAATCTTCTTCTTTGCTAGGATCTAGGAAGGTTTGTTTCCTTCGTATTTCTGACGAGGTTTCAAGAGAAGATGGGTGTGTCTACATCAAGGGAGGGAAGGAGAGAAACATGGTGGCAAAGAAGCCAAAGGCTCCTATTATTCTTCCTGCAAAAGCTGAATTATGTGCAAGATGGCGCCCATCTTCCTTCTCCCTTTCTTCCATGTCATCACTGCTTCCTGCCTTCCAGCAGAGACTCTGTCTTCATCTATTTATTTTTACTGAATTTTAACAAACATCCTCTTTGCATATGCTATCTGTGATAATATTTGTCTCTAAGTTGCTAGCCGTAGCCCTCTAGCCATCTCTTGCCATCTCCCATCCCGTCTCCGAGCTTGGTGCTCTGACATTACAAAGGGCGATGCTGCTGCCAGATTCAGGTTTCCTCTCTGTTCTCCATGGGCCTGGTTGCTCTAACTTCTTCTGAAAGGCTCATTTGAATTGTTAACTCATCCAGCCAAACTCAATTTCAAACCCTTTGTGCCAGCTTTAAGATTTCTTGACAGTGTGAATGACCAGTAATTAATTGGACAAACAATGAAAAGTCCTTTCATTCTGAGTCATTGTTTTGCAAAGGGAAAATGAGAATTGCCCTCGGTTTTAATTATGATTGAGTATTTTATTGAAATGTAGAGGCCCCAGAACTTTAGTTACAATTAGATACTTTTTTACATACTGTATATCTACAAACTTGTCTCAGTTATGCTAATCACACCTCAAAAATATGGAATCTGTTTATTTTACTTCGTTTAATACGTATATCAAAATAAAAATATTTTAATTGAACTTAAACCGAGTCTTCGGATTTTAAAATGGTAATCTTAAAATAAGAGTATCTGTGTAAAGATGTACATCAAAATATAACAGATTAGAACCACAACTGATATGGCTATCTACATGCAGACTGTGTGTAAAATTTTGCATGCCTACCTACAGGGGAAAAAAAAAAAATCAGGGATACAAACATTGCCAATAGTGTCCCATGCTGACTTTAACATGAGTAACTTTAACTTGGATTCTGGAGTCTTTATTTCCAGTTCTCTATTTTTCTGTCTTCTGTCCTCTGCTCTTTGTTTCCTACTTATACTCTCAAACATAGAACCAACTCTTTTTTTTCTCCATCAAAAATATTTTCATTCAAGCTCTGACTGAAATTCCCAATGGATTTTGTCTGAGTGAATGGAGAGTGTTGACAGGTTTCAGCATCTCCTGTCATTTTATGACATGTATCATCATGTCATCTTCTTTGATCCATTTTTGGGGCTATCAACATCATAAGGATAT